CACGAATCAGGGGACCACATTTCACAGACTGTGGTAAATTAATACAAAAGCTACTACCCACCACAGCTTACATAAAAAGATTTTTTTAGCTCTTCAGTTATTTGCACTCTGTCTTTGCTACAACATCAGAGCCAAATGTAGCCTGAAAATGAGTGGGGGGGAGTTGTGTGGATGCACAACAGCTGCATTACCAGGCAGTAAACATGCAGCCCCAAGCCTGAAATTGAATCCCTGTGAGTATCCTCTGAGTAAATCTCAACCAGAACATTATTCCCCTTAAGCTACCTGTTATGGCCCACCCCAGTGGTGGAGTAACTGAGGTTCTTGCTAGTAGCTCCCTTGGGCAGAATTAGAGTGAAACAACACGGAATGACTGGTGTTTGTATATGTGATAGGTTTAATTTAGAACAATTTGGTCATGATGGAAAGGAGCTATATAGCCATTTTGGTTACTATCTATAGAAATGTAACAATATAAAAGTATGAAAATAACATTAAAGAACTGGACTGAAAGCATAAATAAGGAAATCCAATTACACTTGAATAGAGACAGACCAGGTCAAATAAGTATATTAATAATTCCAGCTGTCTCTGTTACAATTATACTTATTTAGCTATGCCAGTAGGTATAGATATTCATATATATTTGCATGTAAGTGATTGTGAGCAATGAACAGTTTGAAAGCTCAAGACAATGCCAAAACTCTTAATTGGATTCAGTACTTAATAATTTCTTCAGTATATAAGTGGATGAAGGTGGAACCATGAAACTATTCAACCAGAAATTGTAAGGTAGGGGTGCAACCGATTGGTGTCTGAAGAAGTTAAACAGTACTACATACAGTAATGCAAAACTTCAGGATACTTTGCTGCATATGGGTAGTGTAGTAATTGGGTTACAAGAAGCCTATTTTGTTTCTGTTTTGAATGTTACACTCTGAATTCTGACAGCAGGTCTGTCTCATGCTTTGACCTTGTGTAGAGATCTGTGAACTAAGTTTACATCAACTAGCTCAGGTGTAGCTAGTAGTGTAGCAGTAGTGTGAACCACACTTACTCCCAACTTCCACAAAAACCTGCCAAACTTTGGTTGTATGCTTTTAGAAACTTTTCTAAGAATCATTCTGTGTCCATCAAGAATAGGGTTTGTTCATTAGCAGCTGATGCATTTCTGGTGTTCAATGCCCTATAACATTTAGTTAAGTTCCAAGCATCCTGTGGCAAGAAATGGTAGGTTGCAATAGGACTGTTCTCAGATCTTTTTTGAGTGGCATTGCACTAAAGGTTGTACAGTGCAGGTGGCAGAAATGCTGAGCCCAGCTTTGAGTGAAGACCCCACCTCAGAGAAAGCAGTATAAACAACTTGAGAAGTAAATACTGCACTAGCACTGATTTCTAGGCTGCAGACACTGCACTGAATGAATGGCTTAAATTTTATCTTAGGCCTGTCTTCACCAGCTGCCCTCAAAATAGATACCATAGTGCAACTTCACCCATTGCTCACTATTTTCTCTGGACAGTACTGTTGCAAACTGCAGCACTGTGGATACACAGGCTCAAATTGGCAAAGACAGGAGACAAGATTAAGAAACAGGTGAGGGCTTGGTTAAACTGGAGATGGCTACAGTTACAGAAAATTTCATGTTAGGGCTTATTATTATTGTTGCATTAAATACAGTTCTTGCAATATGTACCTTTGTATAAAAGTATGATTCTTGCAGATTGCCATGGGTTTCAGACAGTTTATGAACTGTCATGGTACACTTTTATCAAGCATCTCACAGCTGTTCCACCTAGCAATTTTTTTAAATAAATGATTCTTTGGGGCAAAGCTTTGCAAGTGAAAAGAGGTGTTAATTTCAATTTAATACAATATAATGAGAGCTTGGTGATCTATATTGACTTCAAAAAGACGTTTAAGGACAATCTGCAGTAAATCTTTATGAGCAGTGCTATTTTGCATATGGTTAACTCATCGCTTTGATCCAATTTTGTAGTGAGATAATTGTAGGGCAAGCTCTTGCACCTGCTCAAGGTGCTGCTGGCTCAAAAATGCATTTCTTCTTCTGTCCTATGTTCTGATGTCTGGGTACTGTTTTCCCTTTACTTTTCTTAGCTGGGATTGTATAGAGCCAGGGGTAAAAATGATTTTTACAGTGCACAGAGAAATACCATTTAGTGTTGGTGTTGAATTTGGGTCTCAAGTGCCACAGCCCTGAATAAGTTGGGCTGTTAGGGAAGAGTGAAATATTTTTCTGTGTCCTATAAACAAGCAGAGTTTTAGACATTTCATGTTATGTCATCATATGTAGTTAGAAAATACTGATTTTGATGAAATTGGACAGAGAACAAAACAGTGTGACATGGATTTTAATTTGAAATTTTCAAGAGATTGGTTCATTAACTTACCACTACTATTATTCATGTTCGGATGAAGCTGGGTTTTAAATATTATTAGCTGTACGACAGCATAATCTCTGTGGTTTAAAAATGATTATGAGTCGGTGGTGCTCTTTTTTAATTTCTAATAATAATGATTCTGACTGCCACATTCAAGACTTGAAAAGCATCTGCAGTAACCTTTAGTTATCTTGTCAGCTAGGAAAGTATTCTTGAGTAAAAGTTGTTTGGAGTACTTTGGATTAGATTCAAAAGCCAGTTGTTTTCCCTGATCTGATTCTTGTCTCATTGTGGTAAAATGGGATATAAAACTGTTACTGTCAACAGTTACATCAGAGTACAGTATCTACTCCATGCAAATGCCTTCATTTCAAGTCAAAGCACTATTTTAAATAAATCTTAATAAGATTTCTACTTAAATACAGAACAGGTAGCATTTTGGGGATTTGAGCTTTTCTTCTCATATTATGAGGCAGCAAGGTTGGGGATTGAACAGAACCAAACTGGTTTTACAGAAGGATTCAAAAACAGCAGTTGCAGTTTCTGGTATTCAGAAAATAAAATGGAGTGTGGCTTTTTCTTTAGAACACTGAGTTTTGATCAGCTACCTTTTGATTGGTTTGTCACCAAACAAGAAGCTATTCTATTTGTATTACTACCAATGTTGCTAACAATGACTTTTCTACGTTGTAGAAAAAGATAGGTTTGTTGGAGCTGCTCTTGTGCCTATTAGTTTTATCACTGCTTGTTTTCTTAGCTGGTAAGACATAATTCCCAGACTGGCTGTCTGTAAATTAAAGTTAAAATTATTTAGTTCTTTTTTTTTCAAAGAGAATAAAAATTCCAGAACTTGTTTATAGAGTTCTCGCAATACTGCTTTTGCAGAGAACTGATGAGCCTCTTCAGTTCAAGCTGACACCTTTGTGTAGTATAAAGGTCTAGGGGAGGAGTGGAGGTTATGGTTCTGCATTCAGAACAATGACGTTTTCTGTAATTTCCTCTTTTCAGTTGGATCTGTCAGGAGAAATTGAAGTTTTCCAATTCTTTAGCCTTTATTAGTCTGTGTCATGAGAATAGGTTATCACAGATTTTTAATTTGCCTAATAAAAATTTCTTTTCTCATTATATATTCATTTGATAACACCTGTAATAACAAAAAAATGGCACTTTATTAATTCACGCTTTTGATAAAACCCAAGATGGCAGTGGAGGGAATATAGAACAAATACTAATTAATTTTTCTGACACACGAAAGTTTTTTAACCTAAGCTGGAAATGGCCCAGCAGTTATCTTTCTCATGGTCAGGTGAGTAAAGAGAATGAAACACAATAGAATTATTTTTTTACAATAGAGAATTATTATTTGGTGGCCAGCTTGAGCAGTGCAGCAAGCTGAACTTGAAAGATTGCATAAATTGGGTGCTTTTGGGAGAATACGTGCATGTGTTCAAGCTACTCTTGTCTGGACTGTGTTGTAGTCATCAAAGACCTAAAAGTAAATTACCTTACAAGCCTCTAAAGCTTGTAATGTCCAGTAATGTCATATGTTGGCATATGAAAGAAGATTCAAAATATCTGCATTGCCACCACTTCCACATAGAAACACATCTGAGATGTAAACACATCCGAGACTAAAAATTAGAGAAAAAATTATAAACTCTCTTAACATTTGTTTTTAGATTAATTTTATAAAAATATTGCCTCTTAAATGCAGATGAAATTCAGGAGCTTGCTAAGAAACATGCAAGAATAGCTATCAGTAGGAATTGGAAATAAAGCTGGAGTAAGAGACTTGTGGCTAGTTTATCAGACTCACTGAAAAAGTATTCTGACACCAGTATTAGCACAGTGTTTTGGACTTCGTTTATAGATTTCTTATGTTTTGAGATTTTGTTTTTTTTCTTCTCAGGCTTTGGAAGACCAGGTATGGGACCTGCTGCATGAAGCAGACAAAGTTGCAGAAGAGAACAAAGACAAGAGTCAGGTCTATGATGCCATGGCAGACACTCTTGGGGATGCATGGGATGCCCTCATCATTATGTTAGAGAAACGACAGACTCTTCTGGAACTTACTTCTGTGTTCTTTGAAAATGCTCTGGAGGTTTGTATTTAAATCAAATTAGTCTTAATGTGAAGCCTCCCTCATCTTACTTGCTTACTCTTGTGCACTGTCATTTTACTCTGTTATATATTTTCCATTGTATTCCTATATGTTGAAGCAATTAAAACAAAAATCTCCAGCTTCATCCTTCCTTTTCCATCTTCTCCATAGTACAGGATGAAGCTGAGCAAAAAACTCATGTAGACTTTAAGAAATATATTAGTTGTGATATCTCCAAAATTTGTACTTGACAGAAGATGTGAAAATGAAAAATAGAACTGAACCAAAACCTAAAATATGTAATTCAGTGACTATGGACATTCTGCAGAATATCTTTCACTCTTTGTGACTAAAATTATTTAGTATTGAAAGAATTAAATTCTCAGGTGCCTTCACTAATGCTTACTGAAGATTGGCCACTGAAGGTTTTACACCAATGTATCTGTATAACAGTTGTAATTATGTGAAGTAAACCCTAGTCTAACTTGCCACTCTTTTTCCTGAGTCTTTCATGTACAGATGGACACAAAACTACAACTGTATGATCCCTGTTTACCCATCTCTCTGTATCTCTTATCCTAATTCACTAATACACACAGGGAGCTAAAGCAGAGAGGGATTCTATGCCCTGCAGGTATGTGCCCACACTGTGTAGCCTCACATTCAATTGTCCCCACATCCTGAAGCTTTGAAGAGTTTAATAATTCTCCCTGATAATTTTGTTTCTACAATAGCCCAGTGCCACCTATAATTTACAGAAGCAACCACTGTACTTCTGTCCTAAGAACTTCACGATTGATAGTTATTAATTATTGTGTCCTGGCAATGTGTATTATACAAAAAAAATTAGTACAGAACTGGCATAAGGCTTTGTAGGAAAGATGATTCACAAAGTGACAAAGTGTAATTACAGATTATGTCAACTGAAATTTGGTTTACTTCAATTATCAGTATCTCAAAAAAACCCAGAAGGTACATAGGGGTCACAAAGCATCCATATCTAGCAGCAACTAAAAACGCCTTTTTTCAAGCATTTACAAATTATCATGAACTTTCCCAGTAATACAGAGATTGTGATGCAGTTGCACAAAAGATTATACTGTGCTTCATCCTATCCTTTGTTTTCTTAATGCAGTTTGCTGTTAAAATTGACCAAGTTGAAGACTTCCTGAAAAATGCTCAAGAGTTTGACAATATTGACTCTTTGAGAGAACTTCTTCTGCAACAAGAACATCATACAAGAGGTACAAACAGTATTCCACTCCTGATAGCATGTGACTGTGCACTGACTCCTTGAAGGATGATTTTACTGTATCTGTGCATATTAAAAAAAATTAAATATTAGAACAAATATTAAAATGTTCTATTTGGAAAAATACCACGGTGAAATAACTCTTAAGCAGACTTCCTGAAACATATGAAACTCCTGATTTCAAGCTAGCTCTCTTATACTGCTATCTTCATTGCTGCAGAGCAGCCAGTGGTAAGCTTGTATTTTGATTTCAAGACAGTCCAGGTCAGGTGAGCTGCTAAGAAACCTAAATGACTTTTAGTGTTGATTGGCAAGCAAATCCTAAAAACATACTTCTGTTCCATGGGAAAGTTCATCAAAGTCATCAGAGCTACAAAGGAATTTCCATTAGAAAATTTCCAATCAGCTCCAGTAACAATTCTGTGCAAAGTTCTACAGTTTCTTGGGAATGGCTAAGGGTAAAGTTTTTACCATGTTTTTATTTTTTTGCCCAGGGATGGGGTTTAAAGCGGTTTTGATGAAGTGAGGGTGGTAACTATGAGATAGAGGGGGCAGGTAGCCAGCTTCAGAATCTTTTGGCCTACAGTAGTTCCCTGTGATTCCCATTTTGCTTCTGCCTTTGAGGAGTGGGGCTGTGCTTTCACTTCTCCATTGAAGTGTCTGATGTGTTCCAAGAGGTTCTGCAGCTAGACCTATAACACTCTTGGAAAAAATGGTGCTCTCTTCCCTTCCACAATTTTCCTGCACGTATGTTTGCCCATAAAAATTCTTCCATATGAATTCTTTTTGTTTTTTCGAGCTTTCATGTGAAGCACCTTCTACCATATTCTGGTGCTCTTAATTCAAAAAGGGAAAAAATATTTTTGGAACAAATCTCGTTATGTGGCTGCTTCAGACACCATATGGTTCTGTATTTTGCATAAGACTTAAGACTCCATCTTTGTAATTTTAATAAAATTTTGTTATATGATTACTAACAGTTGGCAGAATATCAATGATACTTTATTAGTCACTAGTGGAGCACTAGCTTAAATATTTTTAGCTACCTTGAGCACCAGGTATTCTTCTCAGGAGACTGAATAGACACTTGAACTCAGATAACTCTAATAGAGGTTTTGGATCTTCCAAATTGATCTTCATGGGAGCAAAGTGCACACTGTATAGCAATTTAAACCTGAAGTATCTGGCAGTAATTTACTGCTGAAAAGAGGGTCTATAACTGTAAGAATCAGATGAAATGGTTTGCCAGAGGGACACTGCTTTGATGGGGATAAGCCTTTCCTCAGATGAAGGAAAGTGGTTGCAACTGATTGACTTCTTATTCTATCTTAACCACATCAAATTTTGAAAACTGATATTGAGCTATTTGATAAAAACCAGTGTTTGTATTGCTTTCTGCAAGAAGGATACTATCTACCCACTCCAAAGTAAAGTGGCTGAAAATACAATCCTTACAAAGTATTGGCGCTGTGAGTATGTGATGAGTAATTTATCACAAATGATTATCACTTCAGGGAAAAAAAGTTGTGAAACAAATGCATTTCAAATCAGAATAAAAAAAGGTGGAAATGTATGAACTGTCCCTGTTTATCCTTTTCTATGTGTATTACATTTTGGATGGACTGAAATGAAGCATTTCTGATTAAAGCTACCTTTCTGGAAGGCAAGAAGTAAAATGGACAGGCATGTTGCAGTGAGCTGATAGAAATTACTTTCTCTTGAGATCCCTTGGTGACTGGAGAAGTGGAGGTATCCTACTTTGCTTCATCCCTAGGTATTCTTCACTAAAGGTGAAGTTTTAGGGTGCTTTGCCTTGAATTACCAGTATGTGTACTCAGCTGGGAAGATGAATGTTTCAGGGGGTTGCTTCACTAGCAGATCCTTGCAAACATTCCTTTCTTATACTTTTCTTCCTGTCTGCCTTGCCTCTATGTTGGCTTGGCCTCTATATTGCCAAGCTTCTGTATTGGCTTGCCTCCCATTCTACCTCATTCCATGCTTAAAAAATTTCCCTTTTCACATGAAAGACTTATAAATACTGATCATAGTCTATTAAATAAATTTTGTAGTATGTGACTTCAATGAGATGAACGGGCACATCAGTAGTAGCAGGTCATTAAAGTGTTCTAGTCCACTGAATTTTAACCCTGAATGTGTATAGGTAAAGATTATAGAAAGAAGGTAAGAGTTTCTGATACTCATGGTTTATTTGAGACAGCTCCCAGGTAAGATAACTTTTTTTTCAACTCCTGTGAGTGATAAAAATTTAAACTTAGCTTGCATCACTAATGATAAACTACAGAGGCTACTGGCCCTCTCGGAAAGCAGGGTAGGAAGTTCTACTTCAGCTTACCTGAGCATTGGGAAACCATCAAAAATAACTCAGTTTTGAGAAAACAATAGTACTTCTGGGTTTTGTCTCAGTGACTCTCAGTACACCATCATATCTTTATATATATGTACCATTATAGGTACATATATGTATAGGCAAATACCATTATACCTTTGTATGTTTATATAATAGCTGTCCAAATTGAAATATCCATAGTATATATACGTTCTAAAGTAAGCATTTATATTCATGGATTGCATGAAAATACATTGTGCTTGAGTATGTAAATAGAGTTTGAAAAATACTCTAATATTTGAAATATGCTACATAATAAATCACAAAACACATTGGGTTTTTTCCTTGTGAAATTCTATTCTTACAGAACTTTTGGAAAAGTCATTTGCACTTTTAAACAAAAGCCATGAGCTAACTGAATTCATAGAAGAATTCAAATGTGAGGGGCCAAATGCAAATCCGGAGCTGATTCAGGGAGCCCACAGCAGCTGCTTGAAAATTGACAATCTCCTTGAAATGCTCCAAGACAGGAGGCGGCAACTGGACAGATTTCTTAAGCATCAGCGCCAAGGACTGGAGCAGGTTCTGCAGATTTGTTTGTGGCACCAACAAGAGAACCAGGTAAGACATACAATATTAAGGGAAGTCACAGCAGGAAGACAAAACCCACCTAGCAACAGACAGAAAAGGAGTTTGAATATATTTATTAGGCCAATATCTCTCAGCTGCTTCTGTTTGATGAGATCCTAACTTTTTAATGTTTGACTTTTTAACTACAACTTTCTCATAATGTATTTTAATATAACTGTAACATCTTCAAAAGCAGTATTTCCATTGTGTGGATTCCTCCTGTAAGTTATCAAATGTGGTGCTTCAAACCAAATTAGATTCCCTTCAAATTGAATTCCCAGCACAAACAAACCTCTAGCCATATGAGTGATAACAGTAACTGGCAATAGCAATTACAACTTTTGCAGGCTGTTTCTGGACTAGTCAGTTAAAGAGAAGAAGAAGTATGATTAGTTACTTGGTCTGCCTGAAAGCAGAGGAGTATTTTATTCTTGAAGTTGAATCGAAATTCTTTAGGGTACTATAGTGATTGCAGGTTTTCCACACCTGCAACCTGTTTCTCTCTTGTTCCACCCAGCTTAGATCCCACCACTTAGTGAATTTCTCAAATACAATTTTTTTTGTACCTTCCTTTCAGAGTTTAGGTACATATAATTCTTTCTCTTCCTCTTTCCAGTCCTACAGCTCTTTTTCCTTTTCATTCCTCCTTTCCTAGCATTCAGATCAGATAATTTTCTCTCTTTTGTACTTCACATGACCAGAGTAACTTCAGCAATGTAAGAGTCCTCTAATTTCTGTAGAGTAACACTACATACCTTCACCAGCTTGACTAAAAAAAGACACAGAGTCCTGTTCCAACTCTTTGGACATTAGTTGTGCTAAGAAGGAGGAACCTATGCAAATTTAACTATCAAAATCTAACAAGACTAAAGATGATATATTTTCCATGTTTTGAAAAAACAAATTCAAATGGTTTTTAATATCATACTTATCAGAATATACCTGTTTAGTCTCTGCATTACAGTCAAACCTGGTGTAATGTATGAACTGTACATTTATGGACAATTAATATCCATCCATCATAGACAAATAATATATTCCCATGTAAATGCAAACACTGGAAAATAAACTTTCAGAGACTTTATGTAAAATTTTTCTCTCTGGCCTCCAACACATTATGGATATATTCCTGAGTGATAACAGAAATTAAACTCTCAAAGCCTTTCAGCACATTTGGTATTTAATATTCCAATCTCTTCATGTGGACTGAATTCTTCTTGATGTCTAATGGTGCTACACATGCCAGAACAGCATATTGAACTCCCACTACATTAATGGGAGTTAGGGGATACAGAGAAAGCAGAGTACTGGGGACACACTCTACTGTGTATGATACAAGAGTGGATTTTTACTCTTTGCATTGTATATATACATACTCTTTAGTTTTGGTAGGCACAATTGTGTAATGCAGGAGGCTGCATAATCTGTGCATTGCTCTTTTAAATGAAAAAGCAAGCTCCCAATAAAGATCCCTTATTACCTAGATATGAAACACCAAAGATGCATCACCTCCCTTTGTTCTCTAATTGGAATATGGTGATCTGATAGTCATGACTGTAACACGTAACATGTTTCTTTTTCAGAACTTTCAATATGTGAAAGTATTTATTTTACATCTAGAGAAGGGCATCTGACCTTCCTTTAAGGAAGTGTTAGCATCATATTTTCTGATAGTCTCTTTCATGAATGAAAATCAAAGGCGGATTGGTCCATTTTGTGCATAATTAGTTATCTTTTTAAGAAGATTTATAAAAGTAATTTTTCATAATCTGTCCAGTCATGCATATATGAGACAATTAAAGTTATTGATGGTATTTGGTCATATCAAGGGCAGAGAAAAGACCTGAATAAAACTCAGGGGACAGGTGAGTACACCCACATTTGCTATCTAGGCAGGTTTATGGGAAACAAACTATCTTGATCTAAGTGAGAGTTACCTTTCTGATTAAATTTTCATAAAGGTAGTTTAACTGACATTTCAAAAAAATCAAGCAGTGTAACTCAGACTTTGACCCCGTGTTAAAAAAGCCCCACACCCTGAAACTAAATGAGTTTCTGACATCCTTTCAAAGTCTCTTCATTGTTGGTAGGTCAGAATCCTTCCTGGCTCTGAAGAATAGGGCTGGGTAGGAGGAAAGTGTTTTAGTTTCTGTCTTTGTTTCTCTCCAATTGGCAGAAAATTAATTTTCCCCAAGTTAAGTCTGTTTCACCTGTGATAGTACCTGGTAAGTGATCTCCCTCTCTTTAGTTCACTCAATGCATGGGCTTTTCCTTCCTCCCCCTGTTCTGTCAAGGAGGAGAAGTGAGTTTAGCAGCCACACAAGTCCAACCCACAAGCTCAGCTGTGCTGTTGGCTTGGTGTTCTCCTCCCCACCCTTCTCCAGTTACTTATTGAAAAACTTCCTGCTGCTTCTGAATTGGCAGTGGGAAATTCAGGAAGGCAATGAAAGGCTGTAAACATTGAAGTCACCTGGACCATAATCAATGCAAAATGAGCAGTTTAGCAACCTGAGAAAAATGTTGAAGAGCCTTTTATTTCTGACACAGATTATTAATTTCAAACAGAGCAGATAATTGTTGTAACACAGTGATACAATCTGGTTCTTGGAAAACAGGACTGATTTTAGATTTCAGCCAGTCAAGGAAAAACACTTTTTCAAATATCTATATTAACCTTGTCTCCTTTCCCATCTCTTCACCAAAATCACTGAAAGTAGGATTCCATGGGTTTCTTGCTTAAAAACAATTAAGTATTCCCAGCTGTTGCTTAAGAGCTAAACTAGCACAACTGAAATCACTCTAAGGTATTAGCTGTAGTGGTAGCCAACTGATTAAACTCACTGTAATGGAAAGGAATATTGCCAAGTGGTAAAGGGGTGAACACATTGCTATAACAGGGTTAAAGAATGACTTTTTTCCTCTACTTAACATTACAGAAATACTGATTTGTTTTGCTAAGCAGATACATGATAAAAAAGAACAGTTCTAATTTGTAGAGGAATTTTTAATTCCCTTTTAGCAGAGGTTTTTATTGTCCACTCGTTCGTTGTATTTTGGTGAACCCATAGTAAATGTTCTGTGAAAGCGTACTTCTGGGTAAAATGTTTCAATCAGTGAGTACACATCTGGAGGATATACTCAAGAAATGAAGGCTTGGGAGTAAAATAATTTGTTTACTTTTCTAGCTGTGTTGAACTTCTGAGATAGCGTGACCAGTTTTTTTATTCGTAACTGAAAATGATTGCAGCACATTTTAAAGGTTCTTTCATTTTTTAGAATTGCTTAAATTTATTAAAAACAGCTTCTTCATGATCAAATAAAGCAAAAAAATATTCTCTAGTGTGTTATTACAATCTGTAGTACCTAGAGTAAAAAAATTCTTAGTATGCTGCATATGATTAAAGTATAGTGGTGATTTTCCAGACTGAAAAGATTGGAGGAAGTCCCCTTGATGCCAGTAACTCATTCTGGCTACTATTTTAAAATGTGAAGCTTCACTCAGGAATTCTTGCCATGTGTTGTTTACAAAGAGAGTGAGAGGTACCTGCTGTGAATCAAGCAGATAGAAATGCAAGTAATTCTGTGCAGTTTAGAAGATACACTTGTATATTGCATATGTTTGCTGCATATACTCGCTGCAGTAAGTTTAGAAAGATGTAATAATTTTTTTATATTATTTATATTATCTCAATAGCTTAACTAGGTTTTTCAAGGCAGAGAGAGATATTTTCTATTAGCTCAAAAGTACTCAGATTTGTGGTCTCTTACTGACTGCAAAGAGATCTTTCTAAGTTACTGTGATTCAAAGGAGAGTGTACAATATCTTTATGGTGTTAAAACTATACATTTATTCTATGTGTGGGTATAGCTTGATTTTTCTTTTACTGTGTTAGTTTGTAATCTTGTCATAGTTGACGAATACCATTTTTGTCTATTTTGTCACATATATTCCAATGTGTTTGCTTTGGCATTAATTCTTTCCTTCTGCATTTATTAACATTCAAATAATACAAATGCAAGCATTTAAATAAAAGCATGAACATTGGGAATGAAAAATGAAAGGAATAAAAAAAAATTTTTTTGATGACACTGTCTTGTACATATTTTAACAGATAGACAATCACGTCTCAATTTTTTTGCTGACTGAGTTCTTTTAATTATTTAATTAGGTAACATCTTGGTATAAGGAAAACATCAGAGATTACTTTCAGAAGCAAAACTTAGGGTCATCTCTATTGGAAAATGAAGAGTTACTTCAAGAGCTTGAAGAAATGGAAGTCAGAGTGAAGGTAAGAAATACCATAAGTGGCTGGGGAAGCAATTCTAAAAATGAGTAGCAAAACGTGAACTTGGGCATTTAACAATCACACATAGGAGTAGATATTTTGTATGTGTACATAAGATAGATATTTCTGTGTATTGAACTGATTTCAGTCATTTCACTTCTTTTAGTGCAGGCCTCCATGTTTCTCAGTGTTTTCCCCATTTCAAATTTTAAAAGCTATCAATAAGTTAAAAGAAGAATAATCCTTGATGTCATTTAGTTGGGTTTTCAGTTTAATGACCAAGTTCCATACTGGTAATTTATATATTAAACCACACTGAAAAAAAACCACAAATGAAAGCAAATTTATTAGACTGTTACAAAATTTTAATGTGCAAAAAGGCTAAAGCCCCAGCTGTTTCTACCATAAATAATTGTCACTGAACTATCTATGTGATTGTAAGAGGTAATTGCCATTTTATTTATTGTGATTAAATGTAATTGAAAATGCTATTTTCATTGTTAATTCAGTTTTCCAGAGAATAAATCTGTTACCACCACTCATACAAGCAAGGTGGGATTAAAGAAAAGGTTGATATAAGAAGAAGGGATATTTATATGATATGCATTTATATTTTTTATATATTTGTATTTAGAATCTTTTTTAGGTACCTCAATTGTGCTGTCACCAGGTAAGTGCTGTTGCTGGGTCAAATGATTCCTCAGTGTATCATTTTCAAGTAATTGAATTTGAATAACCCATATGGCCCAGTAGGGCTTTTTCATCCCAAAACTATTACAATAGAAGCAAGTGCCCTTTAAAAGGCTATTGGGTTGACAGCAACTAACAGGTTCATGATTGTTATGTTATGTTTCATTGGAAGCTTTGTAGTTAAATGTCATATGTTTGCCTGTTTGCACAATTTAGACTTAACTGCTTCAGGGCTCTCATACAAACAGAATACAATAATATTTCTAATGCTTCTCCAAGCAGCATGTCAGAAAACACTTTTTTTCATGTAGAGAAGATGAGTATGTAAAGATAAATTATTCTGCAAAGCCTGAAAAGACCTTTGGCACAAGATAAACAGTAAATGAGGAAGCTGAGGGGTGTTTCCAGATAGATAGGGACCCACAAAAATATTGAGGTGTCCTAATGTATTGCTGAATTTTAGAATTAACCAAATAATCATTAAACTTCCCCACGTTCTGTTTTGAAAAGCTATTCTTGTAATTTGCTGCCTGATTTAGAAATGTTAGTGTAAGAGCAGAAAGGAGAACAATATACATTTTCATTTTGCACAGTAATCCTTTTCATGGTTGAACATCCAGAGTCTAACTATTACAGTTTCACCTAAGAACTCTTCTCCCAAATGTTATGCAATAGATCATTTATATAATTCTACTGAATTGCCTTCTTTTTTTGTCAGGACATTTAAAAGTGTTTTAACATTAAACAGTTTTGTTATGCCTCCATGTGAATTATGGTTTAGAACATCTTACCTTTTGCCTTCTGCCTTTCTTACAAGCAGCATGTTCTAGCAGAGTGAAATGAAAGTCTTGATGGGGATGTTCCTGAACATATTGGTTTTGCCTGTGATGTGCAAAAAGTGGGCCAGGTTGAACTGCATACTGCAAACATAATTGAGAAAGCTGAGTTATGGGGCCTTGCACACTTTTTTCAGCACTGCAGGTGTTGAGAACAGAATAAAGGAGGAACCTGGCATCTTGATTACAAAATTCAGATAAAGTATACTAGTCAAATGTGTATTTCAGTAAATATTTGTTCAATAGCAGATTAATATTCAGTGCCATCACTGCACAAAGTAATGTGTTATCTGTATGATTGGAATACACAGAAATACGTAACAACCTAGAGATGAACTTGGCATCTTTGCTCACTGACTAAACAAAATCAGGCTTACAACATCTATCATGTTTGCACAACAAATTTCCCGAATCTTCAGCATCTCATCACTGATCTGAAGGATTTAACTTCATATGTATTCTGGAACTGCAGTGCTGTTGTGTGAAGTGTTCATTCTGTTTGAGTGGTTCTTGACTAATTCCATGCCAATGTTTGGGGAAGGCCAGTGAAGAACTAGGTAGAATCCTAAAAAATTTTTTCACAGGTCCTGGAAGCAGATATATTATTCTCTCTATATTCCCATACATGAGTGCACAAAATTCCCTTAAGCCACTTTTCCCATAATATTTTCATTTCAGTTGGTTATACAACATGATGATATTGCCACAGTGTTCAAAGCTGGTCGGATAAAGCCTTGAGCAGCCTGTTCTGGTGGGAGGTGTCCCTGCCCAGGGCAGGAGGTTGGGACTAGGTGATCTGTAAGGTCCATTCCAACCCCTTAGCATACTATGATCATATTATGATACTATGTTCAGGGTTGCTGCTTAATAGGGTATAATCTTTCATCCCAGTAATGCCATAAATTTCTGATAAGTCTGAAATTATATGTAGGTGGTTTATTCAAATGAGCCTACTTCATAAAAAAGGTTCTACTCAATCTCGTTAACTGACTTTTCCTCATTATTTCATAGCACTCTGCTATTTTTTGTGCAACTAGAAACTTTATTATGGAATTATTTTATATTTTCTTCCAAATCACCTCTGAAGTTATTAAATATAATGTGGCAAGAATATGTTTAGGAACAGAATGATTTTAAAAAAAACAATACTAGCAATTTATTGAGCTTTCCGTAAAGCAAACATCTATAATTCCTGCATTGCAGACAATGATAGCATCACTACAAAATGACATCGAGTACCTTGTAAAACATTCTGCTATAAAAACATGCAACATGTTCTGCTCTTCAGAGCTCTAGTTGGCTTAGGTTTTATAAATATGCATGTGATTACCATACATGTGGGTATTTGCTGGGCACTTTTGTGGTATAGAGCCATAAGAATTATATTTTATTTGTTTGGTTTTTGTCATATTTTTTCTGCAAGAACTCAATTTCTCCATGAAATCAGGAGTCATTATGTACCCTTGACAATAACTTTTTATTATGTGACAGAACTGTATAACACTCATAAGTAGAAATTAAGTCCATCCTTTCAAATGTACAACTGCATTAGTCCTTCAAAATTCCTCCACTTCTGTTTTATTGAGCAATTTAAAAAAGTGACAGATTCTTTAATGTTTTATCAAGATAAAAGCAGACACCAGTTTTAATGGTGTATATAGTGGAAGAAATAATTTTAGCAATATGAAAAATATGATGTAATTTTTTTTCTAGTATTACTGAATTTGCAGTTGGGATTCCCTTCAGGAATTCCTTTAATGTCCAGCTAGTGCTGTAATAAGTGAATATTCCACGATGATTTCAGAGTGAAATGTAATTAGAAGAAGCCTTCAGAAATCTAATCATTTCAGTCAACTATTGTATCTGTTTATGAGAGAAAATATGGAAAATGGTTGTGGAAACCATTTCATTTTGTGTTCAGGAGTAACTCTTAATAGTACCTTACACAATACTTGGCTAATTAATTAATTGCATGCTTTTCTCTAGCTTGGTCATTGCTCAGAGCATAGCTGATGTCTGCTGTCATTTGTCTACTTCCCTCATGCCAATCCCAGATGTTTCCAAAAGAGAAATTAGGGGCTTTAAAATATTTTATATTGCTGAAAAAATACAGGTAGGCTTTGATTAGTGTCTTTCCCATACTGTCTGAATGGCAGTGAGAATTTCTAAAGGCATTCTGTTATAGGTAATAAGGACATTTGTAAACTAGTCTGAAGCTACTCTGGGATTTCTGTATTAGGATCTAAAGTAGCTTAAATAAATATTTTCAGGTAACATTTCATATGTATACTGTAGCTTTGAGGGTTTGTCAAAATGTTTCTGTATAATAGCTATGCAGAACAAGTTTAAGTGTTCTCACAGGGAGTAAGATAGAAGAAAGTTCTGATATCTGAACAGTTTCACACAATGCATTTACTGACATATATTGTTGCATTAAGTCAGGACAAATTATTTGCTTAAATTGTTCAAAGACCTTTCTAAGAAGGATTTACTGGCTTAGCATCTTATTAGCGGCCTGGGCTAAGAGAAAGAAGGAGAATGATTTATTATGTTCTCAAGCTGACACCTTATCTTGAACCTCACCTTGCTAAGAGTGAAACTACTGAAAACAGTCACTAGCTTGTAAAATAATCAAGACCAAAAAATCCCAAAGGAGTCAAAATTGGAAAAGAAAGCCCTCAGCCTTCACAAACACTAAAAGGATGTCCCTGTACCCCACTCCCACAAAGATTTTTTTTCCACACCCTCACCCTCTTGCCCACCAAGGTTTCACAAAAGAGGTATATTTAGGAAATTAGATTTCATTAGGGATATCTGCTGGTACTGATTAACTGCTTGCTGTTACATTTCTATGTGCATTGGAGGTGCTTGACATAGAAAAGAACTGCTAGCACCACTTTGTGGCCAAGTAAGTTCAAAGATGAAGAAAAGTAGAATCTTAAATTTCATTTTGTCAATATTTAGGACTGAACAATGCTGTAATCAGTCTTCCTTTTACTAAGGATTAGTAGCACTGTAGAGAGTACTTCTCTGGTTTATAGGTCTGCATGCTTTTTGGGTCTGGAGCAGCCATGCTAGGAAATAACATGCTCTAATGAGGTTTCAAGGTGGTTCTTAATGACCAAATTAAATATCACTAATGATGCTATTAATTGCTGTTTGTTGACATTAACATAAGGATTAAGAATTTGGCATTTACCTGCTTTACACTCCTCCCAGGATCTCACAGCTAATGCTTAGATACATCCAAAAGTTATTTGACTCTTCTCCATCTGCCTGGAGCTCTCTTCTCTGTTCTGCCTGGATGGCTATGCTCCTTCACCATTCTCTGCATGGATGCAAACTCAGGCTATCTAGCACTTTCTGCCAGTTATTCTGAGACTGGCATTCTGTTGAGTTTGACAAGTATTGCATTTCATAGCATAGCAGACAAAATACACACTCCTGTATTTTGATAGCTAGAACAAAGCATGTAATGAAAAATATTTTTTCTTTATGGACAATTTTATTTTTACCTAAACATTCATGTTTTGTGTGCAGCAAATAGAAATTTACATTCATCTATCTGGTTCTTCTCAGTGTCTGATTTTCCTGTAATGCCTTATATATTAAATACACTATGCTATGCATTGAACTTCCCAAAAGACAGATCATAAGGGAATTGTCAGAGCAGCTCACAACCCCCTGCACTTGTATTAGTGCCCAGTAATTTATTTGTAATTTGTAATTTGAGGGAATGCTATTATTATATTGGTAGTTCCTGAAGGTAGAAGTCTCTCAAATATTCACAGAGGCTAAATTATGGATGTACCAATGGATGCAATTAATTAAAGGCAAATTTTTAGGCTCAGAAAAAGTTCAGTTGTGAACATTTTTGCATATGAGAGAATAAGCTAATTTTTCACATATTCTGAAAAATACACATTTTTATATTTAATTGACTTGTGGTTTAAATATTACTTTGCCTACTATATGGACCATGACCTGTAGTCAGAGATGTGTTTCATGGTTTTCTGAGCTGAACCCTAGAATATTCAAGTGCAAACACTTTTACACAACTTCTCAGGTTTTAATTCAAAGTTAAAATTTATAAGTCAGAAATGTTTATGGTATGGACCAAAAAGCCCGTTTATTCCACAATAATTGTTTGATAACAAGATAAATTTGTAGGTATTTCTGCATTTTTCCCCCCAGGCTACTGTTGGATATTATAGAAGGCAGAAAAAGTTCTTTTACTTAAAGCTACAATAGGTTTAGTTCATCAGTTTTAACACTCTTGAAAAATACCTGATTAATTGAGGAACCTAAGAAAAGCTCATTTTTCTTCCCAGATTGAATAGTGAAAGCAAATTTTTAAAAGGCTTACTCCTGTGAGGAAAGGAATAGTGGCATGAGCTAAGGAGGCACCTTAAGTGTAGTCACATCCATTGTATCTTTACTAGGTCAGAGGAATTCACAAGCATTTCCTGATAAATTGCAAAGTCAAAGTAATAGTAGGCTGCATGTTCCTTTCAGGGAAAATGAATAATGAATATTTTAGTGCTGACTGAAACATTGTTATGAATTTAAAATGTTGAAGGCTGAAGAAGTGAGGAAACTAATAAAGATTTTTTCACTGAATTTTTGTGTCCTGTTGATGGAAAGTCTAGGCTTTTTATGTGTAGATTTCCTTTGGAATAGAATAAAAATGAAGTTGTTGCTAGCTATTATAGCAAATTTAACCAAGTTTGGGTAATGTTTAGGCAGGATAGCAAATGAGTCTAACAAAATTGAATACCCTCAGAGAGTGTGCAAGGTTGTAATGTTTGTGAAGTGTTTTAAACCATAAATTACTATAAGAAATTGGGGGTTTGAGGTTGTGTGACAGCCTAGAGAAGAAGCTTGCCTCAATGTAAACAAGGCAGAGTTTAACCTCTACTTTAAGATCACCTGAAAACGGCTGTTGGGCACCTTGCACCAAAGAGATTTATGAATTTTGTTACAGTGAAATCCTCTTACAGGAATTAATTTCTTTACAAATTGAGTCATTTTCTTATAATTAGTCTTGCCTGCTGTAATTATAATTTACACATTGTAATACACTGAATTCAGAAGTTTTGACTATATGTATATGATTCTAAGCTAATTATGAACAGTTTCCTTTCAGTTGCATTAACATGTGCATCTTTGATTCTTGCATAAAATGTTCACAGAATAGTCAGAGTTGGAAGGGATCCTTGAGGATCATCTAGTCCAACTCCTGGCCCTGCACAGGATATCCCCAATAATCACACCATGTGCCTGAGAGCATTGTCCGAACACCTCTTGAACTCAGTCAGGCTTGGTGCTGTGACAATTTCCCAATTGCAAAAATATTCCTCTATTTAACTGATTACCAGAAAAAGTGGAGGAAATATGTTGCCTAGGCATGGGAAATTGCAGTGTAGTATCAAGTGCTCCTTTTGCTTTGAACAGCATAATAAGGCACCAATTTTAAGTGTTGACAAGTACAGCAGGGACAAAGTACACTGTGTAACAGTTTTACTGTTTTATAGTCTTCTCTATGAAAACTCAGGGAAAAAAAAGATGCAACCAAAGCAGTAGTTGCAAGATAGGAAGGAGGTGAAATGGTGTTTTTCTCTTGACTCAAAAACATAATTTCCATTTGGGCTATCTAGTCTGATACATCTTTCAATACCTCCTTATTGCCTAAAGAAGATAGGGAGAATGAATATGGTAATAGCATTTATCACAGATAAAACCACATAGGGGATAAAAGTTTTCTTCATGAAGGTTTAATCCCTCAATATGATGTATATTTGGGTCACTGCAGTAGAAGCACAAGTCGGGTCAGTATGCATAGTTGAAAAGAGAGAGGAGTTAAATAGTCAATCAATTCTAATTAACCAAATATGCTTCCAAGTGGTGCAATGTAGACAAAATATCTGTATGCAAATTTGTACTGATCCAACTGAATCCATTTTAAAGCACCTAGCTCAATTAAGTGTCAGAAATGTTTCTGACTGGCTTGAAATTCTGAAGTATGATTTTACTTTTTTAAAACACCTCTTTTGTCTGTCACTTCCACTAGGAACATTCATGATCAGATAAAGCAGACACATGCTTTCACTGGACTTGTGTTTTTATGTAGGAAATCAGAGAAAATGTGCAATGGAGAGCGTCAAGGATGATAGCACACCTCACTGTAAGGGAGGGTCATTTGATTGATTACCAGGCAGCTCTTGTCTCACTGGAAGCAGCTATTATCTAGGCAATATTTTAATTTGTTCTTTATTAAATAGTTAGGCTTAAGGGGCTGCTTGTCATGGGACTGTGGTCTTACCTAGAAGTTTCTTGTCTTTGTTATTCAGATCATTTTTCCCAGCAGGCGCACTAGGAACCGCAAGTGCTGCCTGTGAAACTGTGTCAAAGAATATAGAATGCCACTGCTGAAAACTGTCACTAAAACCATGATTCACTGAGAAAGACTTCCTAATAGAAATACTGTTTTAAAGTATTATAACTTTTAGACCTATAACAATATGCATTTTCCATTGCCTGTATTATTATCATACAGTATATTACTTTTCTATATGTAATTGATAAAAATGGAATTTTTTTCCTATTAGGAATGGAATTCCACTGTGGAGCAACTGGAAGGTGAAGCATTTAGGATCTTGCTTTCAGAGGACTATACAGAAAAAGAACATCTAAAGCTTTCAAATCAGAAGGTCTGTCTGTTGCGAGAAGAAGTGTACTTCCATATGGAAGAAAGGAAATCCCTGCTGCAAGAGGCCAATGACTTTTTTCATGCTGCTGGCAAGGTTGGTAAGAAGCCAAGTCTGTAGTAAAAACCTGATAATAAAACTGTTCATGTATGCTAGAAGGTTAATATATGTGGGATTATGCAAGCAGTTTGCTAAACAATTTGGAATGGAAAACTACTAATCCAATTGCCCTTTAATATGACCTTTTGTCTAAGACTTCTATCCAAAATGGAAAATCCATTTTAAAAATATTTTTTTTAAAAAAATATATTCAGAAGAGCACTTGATTTCCAAAATATGTGGGAAATATTTATGTGCCAAAATTTGGGTTTTAAGATCATGGGCTCTTGTCATGGTGCCATAGTGCTGTATGAAGATATGAAAACTGCTCTGAAATAGCCAGTGTTACTGGCTAGTATGGATACCAAAAACAATGTCTATACTTGCAGTGGTCTCTACCCAGGCTAATTATAATCAATACTAATAGTGATGCAACCTTTTTCCAAAACCTTTTAGTTAGAAGGTTATTTATTAAAGTTTATATTTTAAGGTGTCCAAAGACCAAATGGTCCTTTTGTTTTTTTTTCATGCATATTGTTTTCAGGTCGTTTATAGAAGTTTTAAAAACAGATCATTTCCAAGGATAGCTCTAGCAACAATCTTTGTATCTCTATTGAATGTGCTGAACAAACAACCTTGACTTTACTTTGCCTTCACTAAATTCTGTTTTGAGCAGCAGGTGGGGCTGTAATCGCATTTGGTTTTAACCTGGACGAGGGTATTTCTTTAACAACATGTAAACACCTCTTGATATTGAAATTATTTAGCGATATCTTTTTTTCCAATAAATTTGTTCTTTCTTGATTTCGTTTGTAATGAGGCATCTGAGATGGGCTAATGAAAATAGTGTTAAAACTTGCTGGTAGTCACCCCTTTCTAGTTTGGACAAGGACCTACAAAAATATAGTCCTATTCCTTTGAAAACAAAGGTGTAAGAGAATACGGTGCTACTGCTATGATACTAATTATGCACAGTAGGTTTAGGCACATTTCTATTTTAATAATATTAGTATGTGCTTATGTTAATAATGGAGCATTGCCATGTTGTCCCTTCTCTGTGTAAAAAGACAGGAGTCTCTCTATACCACTTTTGTCACTTTTTTCTGGAATTTGAAGGAGGAAATTCTGCTTGCACTAAAGGAAAACAGGTATAACAAAGCTGCATATGTGCAAAATCAAAAGCCTACCGTTTTGATAGAAATATATTTAATTATAATTTATTTGTTTGCTATACAATTGCCAAAATTAAAAAATAGAAAAGAAGGAAAAATTGGTAAAATTCTTTTAGAATGTTCTTCAATAAAACTTTTCAGTGCTAGCTCATTGTATTACTCTTGTTCTGCTTCTGCTTTGGTTCTGATTCTGTATGTCCAATTGGCCTGGTTATTGCTAGAAGAATGGAATATTTTTAAATTCAGAGAATAATTGTGATTTTGCATGTCCATACTTATGTTAACTCCTGTTGAATTATGCCTGCGTTCTTCTGTACCTGCAAAGTCAACACCAGACCTTAAATTAAATTTTGGTTTTCATTTATGAAGAAATGTCATACATTAAATGATTATTGATCACCTATTTATTTAAAAGGATATATATGCGCATTGTAAATAAAATATTTATGGATGCTTTTTTTCTCTTAAGGTACTTGATGGTCTTGAAGGTATTGAGAATTACTGTAAAACCTTTAATTCAGAAGGCTTACATTTGCCTATCTTGACAATGAAGTACAAGGAATTACAGGAAGTAATTAAAGGTTGCGCAGTGACTACCTTGCAAAAAGGACAAACTTTAGTTAACAAAGCAGATTCTCACAGGTATTCCCTCCATTTTTTAGTGTCTGCTGCATTTCTCCATATCTGCATGTTGTGTAATAACTTGACTAGATAGAACCAGACTGCATATAGAGCCAGTGTATTTTACTAGTAGGTGTTCATTTAAAGACTCAAAGCTTCTGCCATCTTTCTCTGGTGGTATTTATACCAACCTATCTTTTTAACGAAAGCCATTACGAATACTACATGCTACTTGTAGAGTGGTGTCAAACAATGGAATTGGTATGTTAGGGCAGTGTTCAGGAGCAATGGATCAGTTAACATTTTGGAAAAGTAAATGTATGTAAATGAAAATCGACATATAAATGGCTATGAACACTCCCTGCTGCCTGAAGTACTCCTTTTAGACCTTTCTGAATGTCAGAATTACAGCAATTATAGTGTGAATTGATGCAAGATAAAAATACAGGTGTTAAGCAGAAAATACAGGTGTTTCTCCAGTTTTTAATAGCTCTAATCCATGAATAACTTTTTTTTTCTTCCAAAGCAAGCCACTGTGCTATCCTTAAATGCTAGCCAATATTTAACCCAGTGATTAACCCACATGAGATAACGAGATTTGTATGAACAGCTGAGGGTCAAAGTAGGACAGCAAACAGAACACCTATCAAAACTAAATCCTGATTACTGTTTCATTGCCCTTACCACACAATCTATTGCTAAGTTTGGCTGCCCTCACAGATGTCTCATTTCCTTTATCTAACCAGACTGGAAATCCTGAAGGACATGGGCAGTCACCAGTTGAAGGCAGTGAAGGGTGTGAATCCAACAAATGTTTAGGCATCTACTAAAAAAGCTGAAAGCTGCTTTGTGATAAGATAGACAAGAAAGTATAATCTGACAATGAGATACACAGTCGTTAATTGTTTGCAACATGGCAGGATTCTTGAAGTAGCTGGCAGCAAGTAGAAATTTGTTTGGAATTTGAAAATAGCTGCCAACTGAAGGAGTAGTCAGAGCACAGTAATTTTAGAGTTCTTTCATTGTTTGTGATAGAGAAGGTATAGCATGCTCTGCTAGTTGCCTGACTTTGCTAGTTTTAATATAGAAGCCAGATTCTCCAGCTTTTCAGACAATATATTTGTTAATAAAGGGAAAGAATCTGACTTTGTTCAGGTTGGGTGACACTTTGTCAGTTTTGATAGATGATGCACTGAATTGCATTGTATCTTTTGAACAAAGGTACTGGACAATGCATTTTTAAGACAATACCAAAGTGGCTGCCAAATGTCATACTGGTTTAAAATGCATTGCTTGAACATTAAGATCATTACAATGCACATGGTCTTCTGTATTCACATTGTTTTGTCATTTTCATTTTTAGAGTAACCAAAAATAAGCCAGGTACTTATTAGACAGCTCTAATAGTTTATGACTTAAAAATCTAATACTGATACCCTCACATTGAGGAAGGACTATATTTAAGGCTATTGACCAAAGAAGACAGTATTTTTAAAGTAGAAGTGATATGCCATATATTTTATCTCTTTCTAAGCTGTTTCATTTGTGATTTTAGTTTTGAGATGGTATAGCTAGTCAGAATTATTTGTGAGATGTGATATTTCTTAGTGAATCAGGGTATCTGTCTTGTGAAATTAATTTAGACACTGGTGACAAATGGTTTGTTTGGAAATGCCATTCTTGTGTTCTACTAATAATCAATTTTCTTTGGATTACTTTTAATATTTCTCTTGGTTATTTTTCTTTTAAGGGTCACAGTTAAATATTCATAAGTTACTTGTCATACAATTCAACTGAAAAGGTGTTGGTGTTTTTTAAAATCATGATCATACTGATTGTTGAGCAAAAAATGAGAAATTAACAACAGTTCTACTTTTCCATTTTAGCTCTTGGGTGACAGGAATTCAGAAAATGATGGAATATGTTAAAAAAAATGTTGATCAATTAATCAGGCAATGTCCAGATTATAAAGAACTTACTTTGAAGAAAGAACGATGGACTGTCTCTCTTGAAGATCATCTCAATAAGGTACATCATAGAATCGTAGAATGGTTTGGGTTGGAAGGGACCCAAACTCACTGCCATGGGCAGGGATACCTTCTTCTGGACCAGGTTGCTCAAAGGCCCATCCAATCTGTCCTTGAACACTTCCAGGGATGGGACATCCACAGCTTCTCTGCGTGACCTGTTCCAGTGCCTCACCACCCTCATAGTGAAGAACTTCTTCCTTGTATCTAATCTAGCCGTACCCTCTTTCGGTTTGAAGCCAGTCCTCCTTGTTCTATCACTCCAAGTCACTCTCCAGCTTTCTAGTAGGCCTCCTTAGGTACTGGATGGGTCTCCTATAAGGTCTCCTAGGAGACTTCTCTTTCCCATGCTGAAGAACCACAACTCTCTCAGCCTGTTGTCATAGGAGAGGTGCCCCAGCCCTTTGTTCATCTTTGAATATCATCATCATCATAGCATGTCTTCTTAATGCATTGCATTTCCATAATTTAGCTATGAGAATATTAAAGCTGACACAAATAATTACAAATAAAATACTGGGTTGTTAGAGAGCACACAGTTGTAGTTAGAATGCTGAATGCAGTTATCAACACAAAAGAACCTAAAGCTATTCTGAATAATGTAGCTATTTTACTAGTGTTGTTCAATTAAGCATAGATTTGCTCGGATAATGAACTATTATAATTCATTCTTTTGGAGAAAAAGTGTGCAATCAAAACTGTGACCTTCAGACAGGTTTCCAAACTGTTTCTATGTCTTCTGGTTCATTTGGCTGAAGATAAAAATAGAAGTGTGGCAAAATTGAGGTTAATAGGCATGGTGACTGAACCACAGCAAATTTCAGTAAAGCTGAAGGAGAGTAGATTCTGTTCACTGTAAAAATTCCTTTTATTAATTATGATACTGAGCCATCAAAGACACAACCTTCTTTTAATTGTTGAATGTCCTGTAGTACTACAGACCATTATAATGACTTGTCAGAGATGGAATAGACACATGGCTCCAAAACACGTTTCCATGCATAAATTCAAATTAAAAATATAATATTTTAGCAAGGTTCACATGAAGGAAATCCAGATTGTAGAGCAGAAAAATACATCAGATTTAGTGACTGAATAATTAAGTCTGCAATCTGATGTTTGTATTTGAACAATGTTTATAATGAACTATTATGAATCAAATGTGAAGTGAATTTGCCACAAATTCATGCATTTATGTATAAATGGTATAGAAAAGACCTCATGATATTCGAACGCAGTGAAAATACTTTGAGTTCAGCTGAAAAAAAAGATTTTCTGATAGCTGCTATTGGTCCTGTAGAAGTTTTCATCAACATGTTGTGAGTCTTAGGCCAAAAGTTGAATTATGAAGGTAATTTTTACTTAACATATAGACCCAAATTCTGCAGTTTGTTCTAATCACTAATCAGCTTTTCATTAGAGAACATTTTGAAGACTTGTGTCATGATACATGATTTTTTATTGCAGTGAAGAATTAAATTGTTATAGTCTTACCAAGCAATGCACTTTTAATTCCAACCTTCTAATGCAAAGTATCCCAAAGTATCTGGTGATAAATTCAGTTTCCCCTGAGCTTCATTTAAAGCTTAAACCTCAACCAGTAGTCCCTTCTTAAAAAAAACCCTTACATGTGAATTCACGTCTGATATTAACTGTATGTGTTGTGTGGTATCATCTGCCTGTGCTCTTCATAATCTGTTTTGTTATCATCATGCATATATAACACCTTACAGTGACAGTGACATGGAATTCTGTACATGTATCTACACGAAAATAGATCTCTTGGCTTGGCAGAGAAGCATTAAATGTGCTTTCTGGAAAAAAAAATTGGAGCATAAAATAGTATTTCTGCCAGGGTTATAATATCTAGATTATAATGCAGTTGTGCCTTAGTGAACTAATAAGCCTGGGATAAGGAAAGCACTATCAATAAATGGAGAGAAAACAGGAGGGGGTTTTGACCATACCTGTTAGAATTTTCATAGGAGAAAGTGGAGTTCTATTCCTTTATATTTTAATTCCTGGATTTCTCTGATTATATATGATATTAAGTGACAAGTTCTACCTTTTTTTGATTCGTCTCCCCATCCCACCATTTGGGGTTGAGGTCTGTGTGGGTGTGTGAGTGAGTAGCTGTGTGGTCCTTAGTTCCTATCTGGCTTAAACCACAACATTATGCAAAGTGCATAATCTAAACACAGGCAAGCTTTACTTCATTTTTTTCTATACAAAATGATGTTTTACACTGGTTTTATAATGTCTACTTATATAAATTAACTATGTAAATAATGCTTTCAAATAAAGGTGTTGCAATCGATTAAAAAGATCGCCCCGGTGCTTGCGGCTGGTATGGAGATTGGCTCCTATTTGTGTGAGTCAGAAAGAGTTTTGAACAAACATCTTGAACTGGCTAAACAAACAAAGGTAAAAATCCTCTTCAATAATGTTAAGTACTTTTAGAAACAGAAGAATGCTGTATGTAATTCTAAATAAGGTGAGAGGCTGAGAGATTCTTGGAAAGAAAATAGGTCTATAGTTTGTTTTAAAACTGTAGTTAATGAACCAAACCACAGGTAACATTGCAAGTCATTTCTTCTTATGTAATTGATTTTCCCCATTGTCTCTATCTCATCATATTATTTGTTACTGCCTCAGGATCCTCGTACCAGCCATTGTCTCTATCTCATCATATTATTTGTTACTGCCTCAGGATCCTTGTACCAGCCATTGATAGGAAGACTCTTCAAATGTGGATTGCTAGTCCTACTTGAGGCACCAAGTTTAATATTGTATAAACAGTCAGAGAAAATCCTTCTTGTATTTTACTATGCCAGAATAAAGGGTTGAATTGGCAAAAAAAGAAAAAAGTGGATCCCATGTGGAAAAACTGTGAAGGAGACTGTAAAGTTGCCATCAGATATCCATTGGTTGTGTTGGGAGTGCCACCACAGTGTGAAAGCACTGCAGCACTCAGCTCTGTAACACATGAGTCTGTTTTCCATCCAGGGCCTTTCCAACTCCAATAGCAGTACTGCAGTATCTGAAAGCAGCTTTAAACCAGTTGAATCTCCTCCATGATCTTGACATAGGTGCATGTTTCATGTCTAAGCTGAACAACATGGCAGTATGTATTTTAGGGTATCCTATGTATTTTGAGTTATTAGAACTCCATTGCTCCTGTGGAGTTCTTTTTGTTTCAGGCAACAACAGTTTATCAAACCCGAGAGATGGATGTATACAGTATCTGTGGAAATAAAATTCACTTTAAAGAAATTCTGGAGAGCACATAGTAACAATATAAAAAGCTCAGCAGATGAGCAAGAACCTCTGCTTGTTCCTCAAGACTGTATAATAGTTTTTAGTGTCTGTTGTGCCAGATTTTTGCATGTCAGGGTGTTACCTGTGTTTGCTGCAGTGTATAACCTGCCCTGACAGTAGTAATCTCTTCTACCTATTTTTTCTGTGGATTGTGACATGCTAGCTTTCAGAATAGCTATTTTAATAACTATATCCATTGTTTTTATGAAAGAAATGAGTATTTTCAGTATATAATGTACATTATGAGCTATTCTTCAAATAAGTAATTGAATTATACATAAGAAAGCAATCCTAGTGAAAACTAACAATGGGTTGTCATAATTGATGTCACAATTTTCAGTCATTACACATGTTCTATGCTTATACCCTTTAAGGAAACTTCATATGAACTGGAAGCAGCTGAAAGAATCATCAAAGATTTGGAAGAGTTGGAACCTGAGCTAGTGGCAGCTTTTTCTAGCAGAACGGACTTTCTGAATAAAGAACTGAAAAACATTGAAAAAAATCTTAATTCAAAACTAGAAATTCTAGAAGCTTATGTGGCCTTTTTAAAGTCAGCTGTAGAGGTATGGACTACTTATTTATTCTCTGACTAGACTGTGAATATCTTACAGATGAAAAATGTGCTTTTAGTTAGCTGAGACAAATCCTGCTGATGCTGTGCCATGGAAGTGTTTGTAAGCTGCTTTGTAATTTAAAGGGGATATGATCCATCAGAGCCAGTGGTCCTCAATATGAAACTTGCAATCTATGTGCAGATTTTAAATCACCATTGTAGGAAGTATTGTAATTGATTTTAAATTTTGTCATGTGCACATGTGCACTCATTATATGCATAATAAAAGTGCTTACATATATTGTTATTTAATGTATAAATTAAATTTACTGGGTTTGCTTCATATAACTGCCAAAATATTTTACATAATATGTTGATATAGATATTTATTGCTGTCTTGCACTGCTCCCACTGAAGTGCTGATTCTGAATGGATTTAAAAATTAAATATAAACCAGCTCTAGCTGAAATCATAATCAATTCAATACCTAAATAATTTTGGTAGCTTTGCTAATGATGTCCAGGGGCAGTCAATTTTCATTTTGATTTGGATTTCACTGTAAGATTCTGCAACACTTTGTTCTTCTGTATTTAGAAAGAAATTGAGGAAGGAATGGAACCTATCAGATAAACTTAGCCATAAGATATATTTATTGAAAGATAAACTGCCAAAAAATTGGATTTCGTTTATTTCTGATTATTGCCAACTTCAGTTACTTCATATTAAACAGATCTGTGAAAATCAGTGCATTGATATAGTGGCATATAAAATCAGTGTAATGACATATGACAGAAATTGTGCATATTGCTGCCACTTGTCTGCTTGCCATCTACTGGTTCACTAGTTAATTAAACCTTTTTTATTATTTGCTGTTTGTATAAATTTTAGGGACAATGATAGGTATTAAAATCAGGAAAAGATTCAGAGGCTGCTATTCAAATTTATCATGTATGTATAACTTCTGATTATAGCAGGTCAAGTTTTGATTTGTTTTCTGAAGCTTATTCTATGTCTTTCTATAGGTGAATGATGATATTAAAAATCTGAAGGAATTCTATAAATCAGAACCACTACAAACAAACAGGGAGGCTGAAAATAAAATTGCAATGGATTCAACTAATACTCACTGGCAAAAGACTATAAAAAAGATTTTTTCCACACAAAATATGGGCTGCTATTTTCTGAATTTAGTAAATGTGGTGAGTATAATCTGATAAACCGTGTTAAATATTTTGTATTTGCCTGTGATGAGGTCTAATCCTAGTTCTGTGACTGATGGATTGTGATTTCTCCAGTACCTAGTTTTAAAGGGACAAATGCTGCTTTATATACTTTTAAAATGGGAAAGTATTATTTGAGTGCTTATGGCATTATAAGTAATATAAAAAGTTCTGTGATTAACAGTGACGAGCCCTTAATGATCCTGTCCATGCATACCAATATAATACCTGCATATAGTTGTTTTGTTCATGTTGGAAAGCAGCATATGTGCGACTACAGTATTGTTTATTTTACTTACACCAAGAGGTAGGCAGTCTTTACTAACTGAGTGTATGAATTCTTCTAAAGAAATTCTACAGCTACTTCCTTACAGATAATCTTTCCTTGTGTCTTTACATTCTGTCTTGGGTTCAGTACACTGCCCGGGCATCCCTATTTAATTTTCCGACACACCTTTATGAGATGATCATTTGAGACCTGCAATAATTCCCTAAGCCACACCTCCTAAAGTATTCCAGTTACAATGTAGACAGCCTGGATATCCAGCCATTTTTTCAGGTTTTGTAGGACAGACTAGGGAGCAGTTAGGTAAGCATTAGAAGGGGCAAGTGCTGTTGGTGTTGCAGTGTGCAAGATGAGCTGGAAAAACCTACTGAAGGAGGGGAAGTGCTCAGGCCATTAGTGTGGGCTGAAGTGTGTGCGTCACAGCTGGATGCAGCCAAGCACAGATAAGATAGTCAGTGTAATGACAACCTAAATGTGTGTGGATATGAGGTTGCACTGCAAGCACTTAAAATCTTAGGATATCTTCAGGTATTATCTCCCTAAAGACCTGGAATTGTGTTGCCACTATATTTTCTGCTATTCTGTTCCAATTATATTCTTGGGTTATAGTTTGTAACTATCTGGAAGATATGGATCATATAAGTAATTATGAACACAATTTCTCTTGAAAATTAAACGGGAAAAGGAGAAACAGCATTACCTAGTTTTCTGGTATTTCTCATAGAGGATCTGTTAAAAGGAGGAAGAAATACCAAACGTTCAAATACTAAACACTTTAGCCCTCCTGTGCTTTGGTGCAGCTTTATCGCACAAAGGAGTGGTCTTTTCTTCACCTTCTTTGTTTTCCAGTTGCTGTTTATTCCCCAAAAGGCCATTTTGGGTAGTTTTGTTTATTCAGAAATTACTTGATTTAGTATGTGTGTTAAACAGCCATCAGAGGGCAACAATTGAGTCTTTACTGACTTGTTCTAGATTTTAAGCTCCAACTTTAGCCATATCCTCAGTATGCAAATTCTGTTGCTCTATGCCTCTTTCTAAGAGAAAAGTGTATTTAAAAGTACCAGAATTTTTTTAAAAAAGGGATGCTGGCATAGTTGTGTTTTATTAAGCTTTGTTGACTCTTATTATTATTAATATTACAAGATTTTAATTGTATTTTATAAAAAAAACATGCATGGAAAAAATGTTGTATCTGTTTATTTGCCAGGTAAATAAGAGTTTAATATCAAAAGTAGAAAAATCTGTACAAGTAACAGAAGATATAATTGTTAATCTGAGTAAAGAAAGGAAAGCACTGACTGATCTTTGGGCAATCTGGAATTTTAAAATTACTCAAGTAAGACCTGTCAAGCAACAGTGCCATATATTTAAAGAACAACTGAAAATTGTAAGTAAAATAGCTAGGAAGAAAGCAACATTTTTAGATTATTCTTAGTTTGTCTGTTACTCTCTCATTAACTATTATAGGTAGCATTTAAGAAAGAGTGATGAACAGCAAGATGCTTAAGATACTTCTCCATAGGCTGTTCTGTCATTCAGTCATCAAGAAGTAAAAAATGCTTTTGATATTTTTTGCCCTTACTCAAATACACACAAGCCTCCACTTCAAATTTTAAGTTTTAATGAAGTTTAATCAATGCTAAAGCAACGTTGCTTCTTTTTTCCTTTTTTTTTCTTCTTCTCTTTAAAAGCACCATTTTATTGTGACTGAGCAATTACTAAACTCATCTGTGTCCTAATAGTTGCTAAACTTAAGTCCAACCATGTTAATAAGGCAGGGGCACTGAAGTCTCCTTGACACAGGGACAGCATGCAGTGTTCCTTAAAAGCAACACTACCTAGGCTAGTAGCAGAACCAGAGGTTTGTAAGACACTGTTTCTCTAGTGCAGCGTATCACTAAACCACCACATCTGTTATCACAGAAAATACACTGTGTGTATGGGTCCTCCAGTCTCATTGTCTGAATCTTTTTTGCAAGTTATCTTAAAGATTTCTTATCACCCTTGGAAGTCAGGGGATTTGAAACAGAGCAGTTTTACTGACAGCATTTGGGTGTCTGGTTTGAGGAATGTTCTTGTTACAAATTTAGATTTGAGTTGAAATTTGTTTGGGGTTTTTTTTTTAGTTACCACAGTTAGAAACATTGAACCATTTGTTTAATCTATTAGACTACCCATGGATTCGAGATTCTTCAAGAGGCCCTCCAGTTTGCAGCACCAGTTGACCTTGGAAGTGACCTCTTAATTGTTTTAGAACTACAGAAAAAGCTTAACCAAATGAAACCACAGTATCAGGTGAGAATCAAGCTAGTGGAATGAATGATGGATCAAAAGCACTTTTTGGTCCAGTGAAGATTCACGTTCACATTGACCACAGACACTCTGTCTGGGGTTACAATGTTTTATATTTTACATGACTTTTCCAGGAGGAAGTGTTGGTGTGTGTTTATAAGGTAGGGGGAAGACATTTTACCTTCAGTGTTCAGAGAATGTCTTATGCTGTGTTAGCTATGTATTAGTGTCACATAAGGACTGGGGTGGTGGAAGTATAAGAGAGTATCAGCTTCATGCTTTTGAATTTAGAGCTGGTCAAACACTGAGGTATGTCATACTGGACTTCCTACCTCCTGTGAATACTGACTGAATTTTAGCAATTCAGTCTGCTGTTGCCCTGTAATTATGTTTGACTTGATCCAAGGCTGTTCTTGGGTGATAGCTGAGATTCATGCCTAGCAAAAAGTACAGTATGTGGAGAGTTTTAAAGGACGTGGCATTGATTTTCCCCAAGGCAATTTACCATTGTTAGGGGGTTATTTCATCAAACATAAGGGAAAACTTGCAATTATATTTGTGTAATTTGAGTACCTTCTGCTGGTTTTGCTAGCAACTGAATGCTGAGCTTGAGTACCTGATAAAATTACTAGAATTGCCAAGCCAGAAAGGATTTCCTGTGAAAGAGGATGCCGAGAGAATAAGTGAGCTTATTCAATTCCATCAAACAGTAAAGGATGTAATGATAGAATATGATGAGATTTTCAACAAGACAGTCAAATTCCATCACATTAAAAAAGAAGTGAGTATAATATTTTAAAATATACATATTTCCCATTGCAGTTAAACTGTCTTTGGTTTTGGTGCCTGTTGTCTTTTGTTAGATTTTTCTTTACCCCTCTGGGAAAAAAGAGCATTAACCAGCCTGCTAATGAGAATTAACATTTTGGATCTAAAACTGCATGAAATCTGTAGAAGCTAAAATTCATACCTGAACCCAAATTTAATTACTTAAACTCACCTCAACAAACTTTAGATGGGTAAGGAAGGAGTTGTAACCTGTTTTTAAACATACACTGATTTTCATTTAAATATATTTTAGCTGGAATGTCTTTCAAAATCAGGAGAACTGGATATTCCTGAAACATCTGAGGATCCTGAAATTATGCACCATGCTAAAGCCTACCTTGTGAATTCCCAGGAGAAACATGCACATATCAGAGAGCTATATAAACTACTTATTACCCAGGGCGTGGATATCTTGTCTGCAGTGCAGCAACCCGTGAGTATAATTAGAACAATTTGTGAAATCAAGTATAATATGAAAGATCATTGGAGCTGTCTGACTGAATTTTAGATGTACAAAAATGTATTAATAATCTGAGCAAGAAATGAGGAGTGAGCTTTAATATTTTAAAGGAAAGCAAAGCATAAAATGTACAGCACTTGATCATTTTACAATTTCTAATTTTAGGGTTGGCGGATATACAGCAGCTAAATTAAATGAAACATTAAGCAGTGATGAAACTTATTCTTTAGTAGTCACATTTGTGAATTGCTTTTGTAAAGAAAAATTGTTTTCTTTGAATCCTTGTTTTATTTTTTCAGTGGTCTGTGAGCAGATTTAACACTGGAAAAAAAAAAAAGATTTGAAAGAGGGAGGAAGTTAATCTTTAAATATCATTGCTTGGGGAAAAAAACCCACATGATTTTCTGTTGTCTAGTATTTTTTTTGTGCAGTTCAGGCCCTGATGGTGGTTTCTTGAATGTCACATCTCTATATTAGACTTCTGCTACTTTGTCAAGGTCACTTTGTACATTTATTCTTCTATAAAGAATGACTGACAAAAGAACAAAAATGAAATATAGTAATGGTGTTACCCTATTTGTGCATTCAAGACTGATTTGCATGACAAGATGGATATAATTTTACAAAATATTTATTCAGGGCAGAATTTTCATTGCCCTGTATTAATTTTTTTAGGAAGAAAGCAGGCATTCTTTATGACTCCTCACCCCAGGGAGGTGATGGAGTCACCATCCCTGGAAGTGTTTTAAAGGCACCTGTATCTGGCACTGGAGATATGGTTTAGGGGTTATAGCAGTGACAGGTTAACAGTTGGACTTGATGATCTTAATGGTCTTGTCCAACCTTGATGATTCTACGATTCTATTCTATGAATGCATTCCCTGAATTTGATAAATTTCTTTGTCTATTCCCTGAGTAGAATTGCTTGAATGTTTCTGTAAAGAATCTGAAGCAAGAACTTGCCAGGTTTGAGTGTGATAGCATTAACTGGAGCTCAAAAGCTGAGAAATATGAGGAAGAACTGTCACAGCATTTCCAACACTGGAACACTCAAGAGGAGATAAATGAGGTAAATGAAATAAACCCAACACATTAAATGACTGTTGAAAATAGCTGTTGTGTTCTATAAATACATTACTGTTTACCATTATCCTAAATGCTTCATATATATACAGTAAAATAGATTTCCATTTTACCAGCAACCTTGGATCCACACAGCAACAACAGTAATGTGTGGTCTATGGCTTTACAGTTCAGGATTATATCAAGCTTGTTGGGCTGGCAATAAAGGGCTTTCACTGTACCAAGAAGACTAGAAATAGAGCAGCTATATTTTCTTTGGCTTTCAGCTCAGTCAGCTTCATGTGAAACATGAGTCTTTGGAATTTTTTCCTTTGAAGCTAAAGTTTCAAACAAAAGTAGAATTTATATATATTACAGGTTTAAGTCTACTAGAAAGAACTTCCAGTCTTTTAGTGAAAAGTTCAGAGTAATTGAGTAGATAACATTATTTTTCAGAAACACAAGATATAATACTTACAAAACTGCTAGGAGAAAAGGAAATGTTCAGCGTAAGAGATTAGAATTTAGCATTATGGAACTGAGATTAGAAAAAATTACACAGTTAAGATGGTTATCAATTTAGCATCTTAGTAGGCCAAATACAAATCCATTCACAAATTAGCAGGTTGAATTGGATAGATATCTCTGCAAAAATTAATTTAGGAAAAACATAGTGATTCATTAAATTAAAAGGCTGATGTACTTTAAACTTGGTGTTCTGTAGATTGCACTTCTCTGCATCCATAAAGTACCAAAACTGGATTCTGAGCTGGAAGGATTTCACAGTTATGTTCCTTATAATGTGAAGCATAGGTAGTAAATATACAGGACACTGAAAGTTATATTTTCTTATTTTTATCTTTTGTTAAGTAAATCCATACTTGAGTAAAGACTGACAATTTTGTGGAGGCCACCAAAGATGTGAATGAGATTTTTTGTCTCAACTATTTTGAATGCTAAAATTATTGTGTGGATATTCTTTTCTTTCACAGAATATTTTTGCATGTTTGTGAAAAGTGTCCATTTTCACTAAAAAAAATAATTTAAAATTGAAAGAACATGTGCATAAAAAAAGATTATTTTTGCATCTCAGTTACACTTCTAGAGCCTTTGCCAATTATAAGCTGTGTGTGCTTCACACTGATCTTCTGTGCATCAGTTTCCTGTGATGTAACTTCCTGACTGATATTAAAAGGTAATAGGAACAGCAAGTGGTAAGGAGGAGCACTAGCAGAGGGAGCCAGGTTGTAGAAGACAATGAAAGCATGAAGTACCTAAAAAATAAGACCAATTATACTACACAGTGTCATGCAGAATCAGAATATTTGAGGTTTGAAATAAAGTATTCTAGTTTTTTACTGAAAACACCTCAAGTTTACTGAACAGTTTGTATGTAAGGCTGGCCATGTTCAAAGATACACTGTTAAAGTAAGTGAATCTCTTGTTTCTGTCCTTTGCTTCTGAGATGATTACATAATGAGGGCAAGAGAATGTGGCTTCTTTCTAAGAAGAATTGTTTTTCTATTTTTATTACTTTTTAGACTACTAAGTAGAGCTGGAAGTAGAGAAAACAACAATCTTCCATCTCTCTCAAATTTAAATGAAAAGTCACATCAATGATGTGTACTCTCCATATGCCCTTTATTTGTAAATGTATGTTTTATCTTCTCATAGTTATTGGACACTTTCTGCAAAATATTTGTATAGCAATTACAGTGTTAATTATTGGGTTTTATTTTATTTTTCAACTTCAGTTGGGAAAGACATGTTTACTGGTTAAGTTAAAAGCTGTCATCCCTAAACCTTGTTGAATCTTGAATATAAACGAACTGAAATATGCTCATCTGGCATGTGGATACCTTTTTCTTTAGGTTCTTTATCTGTTAGGGGTTAACATAGAAGATATTTCCTGAGTAAATATTTGTCCAATGTACCTGCGTATGCTTTCATATACTGACATTTTCTTCTTTTTTTCATTAAATATTTATAATTAATTCTATTCAGGGATCAAGAAACCAGACACTAAACTCCTTCAAGCATGTTAGTTATGAGTATTCAGTATTTTAAATCGTGTTAATACTCATCAGTAATTGAGTATTGTTAGTATGTAGCAGACTTGTCTGAACTAATAATTTATTTTCTCTCTACTGTGTCTAAGCAAATAAATACTTCATGTGCCAGCAGCAAGCAACAGTTGTTCATGGCTGTCACATGATAAACAGCCAATCAGATTAATTTAGTTGTGATTTACCAGTGTACAGAACAAATTTAAAAGTTAACTGAAAATATTTGGGATTCTGTTGTAAATACTTATATTAATTTATGTTTGATGTGATTAATTTAAGCATGTGAGTGAGGGCTTTGGTGATTAGGACTGGTATTTGAAAAGATACTTAGAGGACCTGGCTAGCTCCTTGTGTTTGTAACATATTAATGCTTCTGTAAGAAACAAGAAAACAAGTACTGAAATTTATAGCTAAGAATCTACAGCATGAGTTTTGAAACAGTCTTCGAGGACAGAAGAGTAAAATGCATACCTTTAGTATGCCTTCTCTAAAGAGAATTTGTAAAGGCCAAAAAAAGGATTTATGCCCTTTGCATCTTTGAAAAGCATGAGGAAAACTCATGTGACCTTTGGGATCTGTATTTGCCAGTCTGGGGCTCTTGCTTCACTAGCTAGTTTGGGCAGCAGCCTCTGAAGAGCTGCAACTCCACTGCATTACGCTGCAATTTGTCATAGGGTCTAGTCAAGCCTCAGGAACTGTAGCTTAACACTACACTAAATCTGTTCATGGGGTTATAAGCGACAGTTAATTACATATGGTGTAACTTTTGCAAAAAATCATTAAAAACACCCATATATTCATGTGTGCATAAAACTTGCAATGAAAGAGTAGCAGATCCTGAAGTAGGCTCTCAGCTCTCCACAATCATCTCATATGGAAAGATATGATTGAAAATAAGGGGTTTAACAGTAAATGGTGATGAGCTGTCTTTATTCACGAGTCAGTAGGAACTGATATGGTGCACATTTCTCACACTGAAACTTACTTCGATTGTTGCCTCAGGAATAAAGTAATCATTAACGACTTGAACAATACTTTTTATTTCTTCCCACTTTCTCTCTGACTGTTTCATAATCTTTGTCACTATGAAAATCTATTTTCAGCAACCTGCTTTCATGGGCTGTTTTGCTTATTAATGAAACTAAAACTGAAAGAAAAAGGTAAGGGGTTAACAACGCTGAAGTCCCTCCTAGAGTGGCTCACACAGGAATCAGAGCATTTACTGAAATGGTCCTGTTAACTAAAACATGTTTAAAGCAGTTTTATGACTTGATTTTTCCATTTATTTTGTGGTTGTGTGATAAATTGGAACAATTGGTACTTAAACTCCTCTCCTTCACTCTCATTCTCCTCCCCTGACACAACAACTATTGTTAGGAACAGCTGCTTGATTAATGACTATGGCACAATGGACAAGGTACCAAGTTCCATTAAATCAGTGGGCTGAAGTCACTGAAGCATATTGGGATGCATAGTTCCTTTAGTATTTCTCATTTAATCTTGCAAAACTGAAATACATTTAGATTTCTAAAAACTGGGAGCCATACATCGTCCTTGCAACAATTGCTGATGATAACAGAAGTTGTGTACATGCACTCTAGAGGGATGATGGACAAGTCTGAGCTGAATCTGTTTTTTCCACTGAGGCTAAAAGAGAAGAGTGACAGCAGCTGCAGACCTTTGACACATGAGCCATCATATCTGAAACAAGGAGATCTAATTTCACATGTGGAGAGCCTCTGGCCTTATAAATTCAGTACTAGCTTATGTACATGCATAATCCAGTGAAATCAACTAAAATAAACTCTTGTTCATCTCTTCTTTCTCTCCAAATTGAAGCAGCACATAATGGTCTTGTGTTCTGAATAAAAACAATATTTTTCTGCAGAAGTGATTTTATTAACAGAGAGCTTTTAGATAGATTTTTATTATTCTGCGTTCTTAGGTGGGATAAAGAGCTTAAACTAATTGAAGGTTGCAGTGCCAGTGATAGAATTCCCTTCCTTTCCATTACACTGAGTAAGCACCATCTGTCTATTCACTGCTGAAATATTGTGCCAACACCCCACTAG